TGTTTCCAGAACGGGCACTCTTTTATTGACTGACTCTACAATTGCAACCTCGCGAGAGACAACAGTATGGTTCAATATTACTCAGTTGGTTTCTGACTGGATTCGAGGGCTGTCTGAACCTAAAATCTTCATCGGAATAGAAAGTGGTCAGTTCACGATAACATCACAATACAGGCATTTGGTAGTATTTGCGGTTGTAGACTTTTATGTTGAATCTCAATTTTTCTAGGCATCGATGCTCCCTTACCAAAAGGTGAAGCAGAATGCTTTGTTATAGCATCATTCATGGATGAGAAAACCCATATTCCGCCTCCAAGAACAAGAAAACGAAGAGCTGCAAACCCTGCTCCATCACAATCGACTTCTGTGGATCGTAAATCAGTCAGGACGAATCCTTTTATGGGAGCTCGCGGTTGGTCCTCTTTAAGCTTTTTTTTGTGGAACTGTGCTAGAATTGCAGCGAAACTGTATCCGTTTGAAGCCATTAGATTGTGATTTCCATTTTCTCAACTACTTTGCAATTAATTTGTGTTCATTGCGGTTCAGTAGCAACACATGTGTGTGCACACTTACAAGTGCCTCACGTGAATAGGAATAAGTTGTTTGAAGGAGTTTCAATGCGCCTTCAACCCTCTATTCCACCAACGTGCTATGCACGTTGACGCTTGCATTATACGGGGCTCTGTATATCAGGATAGGACGGGACATGTGAAAACATGGGATCATAGGAGAAGAAATTTCTATTTCCAATCTCGAAAAACGATTACTCATCGGACAGTCTTGTATGTAGAACGACTCTCATGCTAGAGCCTTTATACAACGTGGTGCACTCGTATTGCTCAATATTCTGGTGGTACAATTTCAGAAGATGTCGAAGGATGTCACGTACAAAACCTTTATCTCAATTTTGCTGATATAGGATGGAGAGTGAGTTTGCAATAGATCTCCTATTTTTTAGGACTGGTATTTTTATGTTCTTTTTTGTGCTTCTTCCTTTTCATTTCTTTATTTTGCTCCACTAGCTCCTCAAAATGAGGCCGCTTTTGTAGCTAGCGACGTGGCCTTTGTGTCCCCCTTGTTCCAGCGCCATTTCCATCTGCTGCTGAACGTGCAATGCATGGTCGTAAAATCGTGTTGTATTCAGGAGTGGGTTATCGCTCCAGAAGGCTATTCAACTAACTTCTGTGCTGGCGCCTGTTCTAGTGACTCTCCTATGCATAGCAAGATGAATGCAACGAATCACGCTATCGTCCAAACATTGGTAGGTTATCTCGTTACGGTTTGAGAATATGCCACCGTTTAACCAGCTCCGTTCAGGTTCACTTGGTAGACCCAAGGCGTGCTGAAGAGGCAAAATGTGCGCCTATACAATTATCACCTACAAAAATCCTTTTCATCGATAATCACGGTAATGTGGTAATGAGAAGGTATCAAGATATGACAGTGCAGGAGTGTGGATGCTTATGAAGCCTGTGTCCATTTATACATTGTCCACATCTTCGCTGTTTTGCTATTGTCGCACAAGGCATTTCATCGCTTTTCGATTTAAAGGCAGAGTGATTTGGGAATTCTCAACCTTTTATGTGTTTATTTATATATACCGTTATTGCTAAGTTTAATGCGCTCTCTCTTTCATAACCACATGTAATTTCACCTGCCTTCCATTGCTTACTGAGTTGCTCGAGCAGGTGCTGATAGCGCTTTTCTTGTCCCTATAGCATGAGTGTTAAATCGATCCCTCTTGCTCATAATGGCTTGTTCGCATAGTCGCCTTGAAGTTAGCGCTGCACAAATCGTGCAGTGATTGACTCAGTTGAGCAGTTTGTGACATACAGCTACCAGGTAGTTGGTGGTGATCTGGTTCGATAGAACAGAAAAATGTTTTTGCTTTTGCAACGAGAACCTTTTGACTGCTGCAACCCCAAATCCTCATGAGCCTGGGTTCATTCTGTAATAGACAATAACTCTGAGTACAGATTTACTAGTGCTCGGTGTTTTTGGACTTTCTTGGATAACTACTGATTGCACCGTTCATATCCACCTCGTGGATTGGAAGCCTCGAGAATGCTCTACCATTGTTGATCATGAATGTTACCTTCGAATTAGTAAAAACAAGGAAAATTTGAAAAAGATTGCTGCAGGACTTCCTTACCATTCTAATAATATATAATGTTAATAATAAAGTCTTGTTGGTTTAACACTGGGATTTCCGGAGTGGGAGTGCTGGGGAAGTTTTTTCTTTCAAACAATTCTCTGTTGCCCTCCATTTGGCCTGGAAACCTCGATCTGCAACCCTGCCTTTAAGTGGGATCGTTTTTGTGAGCTTTTCTAGTGGAGTACCTTTCCATCCACGGCTATGAAATTTTGTAGCAATAAGTGACGCCTCCAAGTAAATCTTGTAGTTTTTATG